ATCTTATACTAATTTTTTATTATCTAACTTATAATAATAAAATAAAATATTATTATATTCAACTCTCAACAGAGCAAGAATTCATGGTATTTCATTAGTTGACTTGTTGAAGGCTATGGCTCTCTTTAAATCTTCTAAGGATGGTAATTACCTTGCTTGCAAGACAGGTTTGCCATTCGAGTCACTACATTTTTCTTCTGTATTATTAATGGCCACATAAAAACATATAATAAATAATATAATATGCAAATGGAATAAAATTAAAGAATATGAAAGAATTAATTTTTTTGTCAAATTTATAATTAAAAAAATAAAATTTAAGATGTTATTATCTACAACTCTCATTAGGGAGGAATTCACATCACTTCATTGGTCAACTTGTTAAAGGTTATTAGTCTCTCCAAGTCTTCTAAAGTTGGTAACAACCTCGCAAGATGGGTTTGTCGTTCAAATCACTGCATTTTCCTTCCGTATTATTAATGACCACATGACAACATATAATAAAAGCAATATAACATGTAAGTGAATAAAATTAAAAAATATGAAAGAATTATTTTTTATTATTTAATTTATAATAATAATAATAATAATAATAATAAATTTAAAATATTATTATCTTCAACCCTCAACAAGATAAAAATTCACACCACTTTATTAGTTTGACTTTTTGAAGCTATGGTTCTCTCCAAGTCTTGGAAGGTCAGTAATTACCTTGTAAGACAGGTTTGCCGTTCAAGTCACTGCATTTTCCTTCTGTATTATTAAAGGCCACATAACAACATACTGCCATCATAAAATCAACCTTTAAAATCCCCAACTTCCCCCATTTATGAAATCCAGCGACTTGAACAAGCCATTTTTCCAAACAATCCCGGCAGGTGTAATAATCATGGTTGAAAAGGTCCACGTTTCAGCTTGGGATCAGCAGTCATGTTTGAGGGTTAAATGTTAATATTTGTCGCTAAACTTTAAAGTTTTATATATTTTTAATTTTTTAATTTTTTATATATTATTTTAATCTTTTAATTACAAAAAATATTTTTTTATCCTTTCCTTAATTAGTTTATTAAGTCCCTCTAAATACATGTATTTTTAATTTTTAAACTTTTAAATCAAAAAACCAAAATTAATATTTAACCATATTTGATCATATAATATCTCTTAAGTTAAATGTTAAATTTAGTCCCTCAATTTTATGAAATACACATTTTTGGTCCCTTAACAATTTTTTGCACTTTTTTGATTCCTTAACTCTAAAAATTATATAGTTTTGGTCCCTCCATCAGTTAAATATGATGTGACAGTTAAATAATTTCATGTGGCATTATCTTTTAAATTTTTTTGATGATGTGGCAATAATATATATTATAATTATGTTATATAAATAAATAAAAATGCTACGTAGATTAATATTTATATTTTAATTAAAAACAAATACAATTACCTTATTACCCTCACCCTCCCAATCCCTCTTCTTCCCCTTCTTTCTTTCTCTTTCTTTCTTTCCTACCCTAGGTTGGTGGAAAGCTAGGTTTATCGAAACCCAGCAAACAAAACCCAACCTTCCTCACCCTCCCAATTCCTCTTTTTCCCCTTCTTTCTTTCTCTTTCTTTCTTTCCTACCCTAGGTTGGTGGAAAGGCAGACGAAACCTAGTAAGGTTGGGTTTCGACGAACCCAACTGCTATGCTGGGTTCCGATGAACCTAGCCTTCTTGGTCGCACGAACCAACCTTGCTGGTTTTGTCGAAACCTAGCCTTGCTGGTCACGCAAACCAGCCTTGCTATTTCGATGCGGTTTCCATTCCCAGTTGTTAATAAATTCGGGAGTTGATTTACAATTTGATTGCATTTTTGTTGGAATTTGATTAGAGTTTGATTGATATTGTTTATTGAAGGGTTAATTTGATTTGATAAGATCTGCTAGGTTTGAGGCTTCAATGAAACCCAGTAGCTGGGTTCAATGACAGAGAATTGGAATTCTCCTTTGGAGCATTCTAGGGTTCATAAACATATTATTTTGCAAGGACTCACCCCATTAGCAGTAGAGGCAACCCAACTCGAGTTAGATTGATTTTGCAGAGAGTGAAGATGAGAGGCCATTCTAGGGTTCACAAATCTTTATTGGTGGTTTGCAAGCAACGTGAGACCCATTGAAGGGGTTTTGGTGCGAGAAGATGACATGTCATAAAAAAAGAAAAATCCAAATCAGCACATTTTTAAGTTGTTCTCGTCATGTCATAAAAAAAAAAAAATGCCACGTGGCCGTGTTAATGGCTCAAATTGACAAAAGGACAAATGTTGTGCATTTCTTAGAGTTAAGGGATTAAAAAAGTGCAAAAAATTGTTTAGAGACCAAAAATGTGCAACTCACTAATTTTGAGAGACCAAATTTAGTATTTAACTTATCTCTTATTATAACATGCCATTGTTTTTCGTAGGAATAGGTAACGAAATCCTTAACTTGGAGGAGGCTGTGTACTTTTCCAAGTCTTCTAAAATCAATTACCTTTAAAATAACTTCATTTGATTTTTTACTCAATATTTTTTTTACTATTAATCCTCTAGTATCCGGAATTGAGTCGTGTTTAACTCCAAAAAAATAAAAGCTCTTTTAATAATGCATATTTTTTTATTTAGAAAATTTAAATTTAAAATCTTATTTAAAGAGAATTAAATTATTTTTTATTTATAAAATTTGAACTTAAAATTTTATTTTAAAAAAATTAAATTTTTTTCATTCAGATTAATAAACCGTTAATGCTCAATATCATGAATTGTCATTGTCAGGCCTTAAATATATAAGGAAAATATCCTACTTCCATTCCCACTTATATGGAATCTAGCACTTTGAGCTATCTATTCTTCCCTCTAAAATTTTAAGATAATTAATAATTTGGGGCCAAAATATAATTCAAGTCTCAATCTCAGACCCATTAAACAAAAATTTCCATGCTGGAAAATGCTTTGGAACACCTGAA